GTACTTCAAATCATTTTATAGCCAAAAGAAAAAATTTTTTATCGACTCGAATACAATCAAAGGATCGCGCGAGAGTCTTCAAGTCTTCATCTTATCAATTCTCCTTTCGATTCGAACAATATGAAATTTTAGTACGTGTCGCCAAGTCTGTTTTCACATTTTATCGTTTTATTCTCAATTTCGAGGAATTTAATATAAGATTTCTTAAATTGCATTTAAAGATCGACGTAACATCGAAAAATTAAAATAATAATGTGTTAATATTGTTGAGATTTGCACTTTTATACTCGAAATTCAGTGGTTTAATTTATCGTTAATTATTTATTATCGTCGTGCGCGTTTATATTCACAAGAGAAGAATTTTATTCTTATTAAGAGCAATGTCTTTCGTCAAAAGAACCAAAGAACGTATACAAATAATAAAATTTTACCAATTTTTTCATTTTTATTGAATACAACAAAATCTGTTAAATATTACAGTTTGCAATTAGTTTTCGTGCCGGGCGCCGCTCGAGTGCAAAGGGTTAATCATACACAGACAATTCCACGGACGTAATGGTCTGTCTAAAATCATTACTGACATCGAACAGTCTTTAACTATTTCTACTATCATCTATTAAAATACGCGCCTTTAGAAAATCGTTTCTAATCAGCGGCAGTACAGACGCCGACGGCGTCCCCGGCTGGCGATGTATACGATGATAGCAGCCTAAACGTTCTCGACGTCAATGCCACGATTCGAGCTTATCAGGTATCGCGAATTCCAAGTATTAAATATTTGTATACTTCAAACGAAAGTACCAGCTGTATTTTATCGTATCGATTGGTAAAATGATATATATAAATCGATAAGCGAATTTCGAGAATCGATTTGGTAAGATTGGTAATTTTCGTTGAAGGCACGAGGTCATTTGATAGCCGACACCGATCCGTTGGGTATACAACATCCGGAATCGAAGAAGCTTCAAGGCACGGCCAACTTGCCTCCCGAGATCGTAGTGCGACAGCACTTGAAGAGAATGACCGAAGCCGACATGGACAAGGAGTTCGCCTTGGGACCGGTCACGGTAATCGGCGGCAACAAACGAACTCTGCCGTTGCGCGAGATTCTCACCACGTTGAATAAAGTCTACTGCGGCCATCTGGGCTTCGAGTACACATACATCCACGATCTGTACATGGTGAACAATTTTAAAGAGACGCGATAGTCGACTCGTTTCGTCTACGAGCTCGTCGCGTTTTCAGCTGGACTGGTTGAGAGAGAAGATCGAGAGGCCCGGCGCCTGGGAGTTGCCCGCGGAGCACAGGCAGTTCATTTGGTCGTACACTATGAAAGCAGTCACGTTAGAGGGATTCCTCATGCGAAAATACCCGACCGTCAAGAGATTCGGATTAGAGGGTTGCGATTCTTTTATACCAGCGATGGCACAGATTTTGGAGACAGCATCTGAACACGGTAGAAC